GGGGGGGGGGGGTGGTGGAATGGGGAGCAGAAAGACATCTTGTCAATTGATGCGACAGGAACTGGGATAAGGTGTGGTAGTTTGGATTGCTTGGCCTGATGAAGACTTTATCTTCATTGTCAAAACTTGCCTCTGTAGGGTTGAAATGGAAAAAATCTGATGGTTTATTTTTAATTGCGTAGGTTTTGAAATTAAGAGAAGCAGAATGTCATAAAGGTTAAAACATTTCTTTATTCTTACTAGATACAAAACAGAGAAGAAACAATAAAAGCTGTGCTGAGACTCAAGAGGAAAAATAATCAAATTGAGGTATCGGATTTCTTATTAGGTGAGTCACAATTTTCTCTTAAAAGGACGGGATTTTAATCACTTGATGGTGCATGCACTAGGAATAATTGCACACAATGCAGGCAAAGAATTTAAACGAGCAGAGATATTATTGTTTCACTGTTCAGATCTTTCAAGAAACCCTTGTTATACCCTAGGTAAGGCAATACAGAAACATTCCTTATTGAAGAATACAATGCCCGAGGTACTTTTGTTGTGGAATATTCAAATTGTGAGACAAGGGGCCTAATTGGATCAAAGACCAGTTGCTTTCCAGTTGATTTATCAATGCTTCCTTAGCCAATTGGCCTCATGACTGGTCAGGTCAAAATTTCTCCCAACAGTCTCAAGCATAATCATGAAGAAACAGTAAAGAGGATCGAGAGAGTAATCTCAAAAAGGAATTTTCTAGATAACTGAAAACCTGTAAGGAGAATTTGTTTCTTGACTAAGGACTCTGAAAAAGGACTAAGCAGTGTCAAGTAAGGTTATTATGAACTGAAGGATATTGTCTTGATATATCACAAAGTTAATTCTCAGAACAAACCGTTAAAAGAAATTTACGGCAAAGAAAACCAGGCAGCCCAGAAATGTAGACGCGAAGTTCTTGTTGAAAAAGATCATCATTCACGTACTTTATCATTTCAAGAGTGCCAAAGTAAAAAAAATGTACCTCGTTTTATTTTGCTTTGAAACGTAAATGAACATGTATACTGCATAGATTCAATTCGAGTGGACAAACATAGGGATTTTATCTGTAGATTTAAAAGCTAGAACCACCATTGTCAAGTAGAGCAAAATAAAAGTGCCAAATGAGAGTATTTCATGCATCCTGAAAGTGCACATGAAGTGAATTCCTTGTTTCATCATATGCCAGAACTTTAATAGTGGGAGAGAAATGCTTCTTAACTGCATTCAAATTACGGAGATATTTTTTTTAATTTTTTGACATGACATTTTCGGATTTCCACGGCTGTGTGAATTTCCGTCTGGGATTTCAGATACCACTGGGAAATGTTTCTGAAATGGCTGTCAAAGTGAAACTCGTTTTCAGTAATAGTTTCATAAAAGCCCTCTTGTCAAAACTAGCGCAGTAGCTGTAGGCTTGTGAGATGGAAGGTTAACAAGAGAAAACTATAATTACCAGTCCTGTAAATTACTGTAAAATTTATTGTTCTAGCACGTACTTCTTAGAAAATGGTTTTTTGATGTTTGCACAATTATTACATTTAAACAACAGTTTGAATTTTATATTCGCTTGTGTAAAATTTTCAATTTTGTTTGTTTACTTTAATACTGTAAGAATATAAAGCTACCCGGGAGCTTTTTATTTTCAAAAATTTCACGAGTTATTTAAAGATTGGCGACTATTTAACCACGCATAAACTCGTTCTCAGGAAGAAAATGCAAATAATGCTTAAATATTGCCAGTTTTGTCGCGAACATTTTTGCCGTGAAATGTTTAGTGCGCTATTTTGCCGGTGAGCTTTTGGCCTGCAAACGTTGCTAATGAAGGTTAATTTTAGAGCGCTACATTTTAGCCAGTGCTATTTATTTCGTGTTGCTGCTTGTCTGCGTTACAAGTTGTTTATGATGTCAGTATGTAAACTCAGTGCATTTGTATGGTGATCAATGATATAACCAAACGACAACCGCATTCCAGATGAGAGAATTAATTTGTAAACTTAATTTAGTCGAGTATACAATGTAGTACACTGTATGTATAATTTGTTCTTTGAGTTTCAGTATACCCATTGTTAATTGTTATATTTATCTTTTTTTCAGGCTGCCATCTCCAGTGCGCGTGCAGTGACATTAACATGGAGAAAGAAGCAAAAGAAAGTAAAGAACTTTATTTAGCTGTTTCTTCAGTGGATCACGTTTTAAAAGTAAGGTAGATTTACAAGACAAGGTTTATCTCAATTGGGTTTCTCGCGAAAGATTGTTAGGGCGGAGCTCGTATTAGTGATTTCACAACACAAGCCTAAGAATCAAAAGAAGACAATAGAATATCTGTCGAATTGTCTCGTATCCTGCTAGTTTTCGAGGAATCCGTGAATTGTATTTCAAGTTTGTAGCTTTAAAATTAAGGTAGAATATCAGCATTACCTGGATTTGTTTTGCAACCCGAATTTTCAGCCCAGAAGTCTCGTTATTAAACACATTGAAATTTCTGTCTAATTGTCTAGTATCTATTTCACAAATTTGCTGAAATCTTTGTAGTTTTCGAAGACGCATTGAATTTATGAAAAGGTTGAGCTTTTAAAAGGGCCAAAAAAAAAAAAAAAACGAAAAATTGTCCTTAGAAAAAAAAGTCTGCAATTTTAAATGGTGTCTAATTTAGAGTTAAACATGTACCGACTCTTTTGGTGGAAAAAAATCTTGCACTATGTAGGATTTTTGTCATCAAAAGTCACAGTTTATGTTTGATTTCTGGCTAGACTCTGTTCAAAAGCGCAGAATTTTTTTTCTCTTCGGCAACTCTACATAGTCAAAAAATAGTAAAAGAGATAGCCTACATTTTGACTAGTTACCAGGCCCTTTTAAAAGCGCAATTTTTTTATTTTGTTTACTTATTTAAATTGTTTGTAATGAAGTTAAATTGAATTATTTAAAAGCCAATAAAAGTTATATTGAAGACGCGTGTGTAATTGACTTCTATTTGTTGTTGTATTTTTATTGTCTGATATTTTTTAATGCTAAAATAATGTCCACAATAAAAACCACCACTTGCTGTTTTCATTTCGTTTATTGTTTTGCAATAATAATTAATTAATTGAATCAGTTAAATTAAATTAAAATGTGCGAAGGAAAACGTTCGCGTTTAAAAACTAAGACTTTTGGCGGGAAAATTTGAAAAAATTTGCACAGCGTTTCCCCTTACAACATTTTACAGAAAAATTTAATGAGGTTACACTTCAAAAGTTTTGATCGCAAAAAAAATTCTCAAAGGCAACAGTTGACAGAAACTCCCGTCAAAAACTACTTCACCACCTCGCATTAAAAGCAATTTTGATATTTCAAGATATTTTTTTCCGTCTCAAAATAAACTTTTGCCAAACAGTCCTCAAATTTCTTTTTCAACGAACTTCGCGATGGTTTTTGTGCGAGATGATGCAAGAGTTCCTCGAGACATGAAAAAGATGAAATGGCAAATGGATCAAATCGGCGAAAAAGTAAAATTTTAATTCCGAAATGGATTTTCAAATCTCGCAGTGTAACCGTTTCAAGTAACTGAGTTTTATTTATTATCCAGTCGAGTTTGATCTTCAACTGTTTGTGGCTTGCCATTTCATATCTTTCTGTAAGACGATAATAAAGATGGTACACTTTGGATCAGTTGCACAGGAGCAAGAACACTCATCAATCAAAATCCGATCAGTTTCCCCCGCCAAATTGCCCAATTTCGATGGTTTATAACCCAATAAGGTTTCGAAATAAGTTAATTTTCTCTTCCGATGCGACCGTTGGCTCCGTTCTTTTTTCCCGTGCAACAGTCAAAGTGTACACACCACAAAATAATCAATATCTGGTAGCAAAGATCCTAAACTAACGCAAAATTTCTTCGGCAGGTTCAGTATATTTTAAAAACTCGTTGAAAATTTATAACTCCTTTTGAAAAGTTTTTGAAAATATTTTACTCTGTTTTGAGCAAAGCTTACTAAAAAAAATGCTTATGTACTTATTTTGGACGTCCTGAAATTTAAACGTTAGAAAAGAAAAAGGAAAACAAACATGTTTTGCAAAGGCGCCATGAGAACTTTGTATGACAAGGCACGTTTTTAATACCAATTCTTATGCAAATATTATCATCCTTGTTAACAAATTTAATTTGTTGCTGGTCTTTCTAGTTTTGGTTATGACAGTTACAAAATTGTTGCCAGCCTTTTAAATCTTCAATAAAACCAATCAATTTTAACTGTAATGCGTAGTAGTTGCATGCGGAAGGTTCTCTTTTAGTGA